CATTTCCCAACCACAGACTGAAAAATGTCATGTCTGATCCCTCCAAAACCCCGCTCTTGCTTGTGGCCTGCGGCTCTTTCTCCCCAACAACATACCTGCATCTGCGCATGTTCGAGATGGCTGCGGACTACGTCAAGTTTAGCACGGACTTTGAGTTGATTGGCGGCTATCTGTCGCCTGTGTCGGATGCCTATAAGAAGGCTGGCTTGGCCAGTGCAGTGCACAGGTGTGTATTTTGGGTTTTTTTTTTTTTTTTTTCACTTTCTATTTCTATTTCTATTTCTATTTCTATTTTTTTACTTTACTTTTATTTTTCTCCCCCCCATGCGGATCGGGATCAATCGAGTGATTGATTGAAACTCGACCCCAGACAAGAACTTTTTCGACTAACAGTGATGCCATCGCCCCAGAGTCGCCATGTGCCAACTAGCAGTAGAAAAGACCTCGAACTGGCTCATGGTGGATCCATGGGAGCCCATGCAGAAAGAATACATCCCCACCGCAGTAGTTCTCGACCACTTCGACTATTACATCAACCAGGTCCTGGGTGGGATTGATACCGGCAACGGCACGCGCAGGCCAGTGCACGTTGCCCTCCTCGCCGGTGCTGACCTCATCCATACCATGTCCACACCAGGCGTGTGGAGTGAAAAGGATCTAGATCATATACTTGGACAATACGGAGTATGTGCCTTTTCCCTCTCAATTGCCCTCCCTTAAGCATTTAATACACCAACCTCATTAACTTGTAAATGTAATGCTGTGTCACAGACCTTCATCGTCGAACGTGCTGGCACAGACATCGACGAAGCCATCGCCAGCCTCCAACCCTGGAAAGAGAACATCTACGTCATCCAGCAACTGATCCAAAACGACGTAAGCAGCACCAAGATCCGCCTCTTTCTCCGCCGCGAGATGAGCGTACGATATCTCATCCCCAGCCCTGTCATTGACTACATTGAGAAACACCACCTATATGAAGATGAGGGGTCCTCGTCGTCTACTGCTGCGTCTACTGCTACGTCTGCTGCTGCCTCTAATGCCAATACCGCTTCTGCTTCTTCCGCGAGAAGTTCGCGAGCTGGCAAGGGGAAGGGTAAGCAAGGGCAGATGGAGGATGCGACGACATCGGATGTTGCTGGTGAGTGAAATGGGCGGGTGAATTATTGAATCGATTCATCAAGCTCCCGTTTCTCTTTTGCTTTTCTTTTCATCCAATTGCAGACATGCTTGTCTGGAACTTTGTAAAATTTTTGTTTCTTGCCCCAATGGTTTGAATTACTTACGATGGGGAGACGGGATATGCTCTTTTACCCCTTCCAATCACATACCCATGCCCATATCCGTGATATATGATATGATATGCCTTTATCCGTCCCGCCTATCCACCACGTGGCATACGTTCATATAAAATAAAGTCTTAATGGCGGTATTGGAGTTGAAGAGAAGGACTCTAGAAAATTAGAGGAACACAATATTCATTCGTTTCTCTGGACACTTATTGCTGAGGGGGTTGTACATGCATGTCATGAGTGTATGCACACACCTCCCAGGGAAAAAGCGAAAAGGAGAGGGGACGCAAGCAAGCAGCCAGGCCACCGTTGCTCCACACAACTACACTATTTAAGCGGAGAGATCAGACATTTCACTTATTCCTTGGTATCGCGGTGACTTTCCATAGGCGACAACCAAACCAAAATGACCATTTGCCTAATCTCGCACCCTCTCCTGCACTAGCTTGCACTCGTTGACACGACCTCTACGGAGGAAGCTAGCAATACAAAACCACATCCGCGCCATCTTTCCGATAATTGAACAAGCTTCCAGACGGCAACCCTACTTTTATAGTGGCGTCGTGCTCTATCTTCGACAAACCGTGCCTACATCCATCCCACCGATCCATCAATCATAATCCAATCATGCTCCGTACGTGCATACTACCCGTACATACGTGCATGTCTGGTGGCTGGTGGCTGGCACCTGGCTGAACCCCGGCTTGACTTTGTGGTGGGGAGTGGCTAGGTGGCTTCGTTGGCGCGGCGTTCGAGTGGCTTTTTAGTTCTCTGCCGTACTTCCTGTTTGCAATTCCAACAATTGCCCTCACTCCCACACCATTTGTTTTATATACTATGTTGTTATATTATTTGTCTCATTTTGTTTTATTTTATTTTTTCGTTTGTTGAATAGACCAGACCATGCTAGATATCTCACCCTGTTCAATCTACCACGGCAAAAGGAAGCACGCAAAAGAAGAGCAGGCAAGCAATCCATGTAATATACTCTTCTGCCCCATTCACCTCCTCACTTCTCGAGTTTTGTTCTGCGGACAGCGACTTTCTGCTTCATTATGTCAATAGAAGTGGTGGCTTTTGAGCCTTCATCCAGCAAAATGGCTCCATATAGATCAAAACTACGGCCGAATCGATAAAATCACTCCACCTTCATACTCCACATCTCCTGTATAAAATATTCAAACAAGCTAAACACACAATGTACCTCCCGCCCTGCTTTCCAATCCGCCTCGATATCCAACGCCAAATACCAGGCTTCATACAGTCTTCACCCCATATGAACCCTCGCTAAACCTTACAAGTACCTTAACTATGACCACTGATATACACGCGCCATGCCCCAAAGTGAATAACAGTCCAACTGCATCTCCCGACGGTCTCGCCTCACAGGTTTAGAATCGCAGCGCCTGCCATAGTTAACTAACGAGTTAACTAAACGTAATTCTCAAGGGAACCACTGAAATCAACTGTAAAAATAATGATAAGAAATCATTTGCCTCATTTAAATAAGGAGGAAATTGAGTTTGAAGAGCTACATTGATGGGAACAGAAGTTAAAACTTTTTTATAAATATTTATATAAATGAAATTTCTCAAAAATCAAAAATAAATAAAATAATATAATTGTTTAAAAAGATATAAAAAGTATTTTTATATAATATAATATATAATATATATATTAAGAAAATAATTAAAATAACTATTTTAAATATAAAACTAATATTTTAAAAAGTAATATTTTAATTTTAATATCTTTTAAATTTAATTATTTTTATAATATATAATTTTATATTTTTAAAGTAATTAATTTTTTATATTTTTATAATATTTTCTTTGATAATTTTTACTTTATATCTAAAAACTATTATAATTATTAATTAATATATATATAAAAAATTAAATATTATAATTAATTAAACTTTAAAATATTTAAAAACTTTAATTATAAAATTTTTTAATAATGATATAATTTTTAAAAAGTTTTTTTCTTTAATTTAAAATTTTATATAAAGTTAAAATAAAAAATTTTTATTATTTTATAAAATAATTATATTTTTTATAATTATATTTATTAAAAACTTAATATAAATTGATAAATTTATAAATTTAAAATTTAAAAAATATATATTAAATTGAATTAAATAAAATATATAAAATAAATTTTATTTTTATAGATATTATTAAAAATTTTATAAGTTTATATA